TTAAAACTAGTAGGTACTTTAGTGCACATCATCCATTCATCAACTTGATGTCAAAAATACGTTCTTGCATGGTGACTTGAGTGAAACAATCTATATGTACCAACCTCTTGGTTTTCGGAATTACATTCGTCCTAATCATGTGTGTATATTGAAAAAGTTGTTGTAAAATCTTAAACTGGATTCCTGTTTATAATATAAACATTTTACAGACTACGTTTCAACCATCGCTTTTTCACACACAAAACCAATCATTCACTCTTCATTTGTTGTCACGAAGGAGACATGGTGTATCTTTTACTACATGTCGATGATATTGTTTTGACAGCTTAATCGGATGTTTTACGACCTTTGATGATATATATATATATATATATATATATATATATATATATATATATATATATATGCTTAGCCCCGAGTTTGGTATGCAAGATTTGGGACCTTTGCATTATTTTTTAGGTATCACGGTTGAACATATAAAAGGGGTCTCTTCTTATCCCAACGCAAGTAGGCTATTGAGATTATTGACCTCATTGGGATGACCTCGTGTAAACCGTTCTCCACTCAGGTTGATACTAAATAGAAGCTTAGTGCTTATGAGAACACCCCATATATGTAACCTACCCACTATCGTAGCTTGGCTGGGGCACTACATTATTTGATTTTTACCCGTCCCGACATTACATATATTGTATAATAGGTGTACTTGTTCATGCACAATCATTGAGAGATACATATGTATGCTCTTAAATAGATACTACGATATGTCCAAGGTACTCCTCATCATGGGTACATAAATATATGCCATTCGTCTCTATGTCCAAGGCACTCTTCATCATGGGTAACATAAATATATGTCATCCGTCTCTAATCTCTTTTCCTATATGGATGCAGATTATGTTTGTTGACCGGATACCCGTTTCTCAATTTCTGGATACTACATTTTTCTAGGTGGAGATTTGGTTTCTTGGTCAGCCAAGCAACAAGTTATTCTTTTCCCGGTCAAGTGTCGAGGTTAAGTATTGTGGGCTGACAAATGAGGTGTCTGGGTCATGTTAGTTGCATAATTTTCTTTTGAAGCACTGACTCATTCAAAAAGCAACATCGGTTTACTATGACAACGTTAGTGTTATATATCGTTTGGGTAATTTGGTACACCATCAAAGTAGGAGCATATCGAACTTGACATTTACTTCGTTCGTGAAAAATGTTTCTCGTGGTCAAGTTCATGTGTTGATGGTTTATTCTCGATATTAGATAGTGGTTAGATTTACGAATAGGCTTCCATTAGTACTTTTTGAATATTTATGTGATTATGAGAGTGTTCGACAAAACTAGTTGGTAGCATGTAGCATGTAGCGGGTAGTTTGTAGCTTGTAACTGGCAATGTTTTGTTAAACGCTACGTGAAGTAGCATTTGAATTTGGAGTGTTTTATTTAAACTAAATGCTAAAAGTTTGTAGTGCCAAACAATATTTTATGTCCACAACGGAGCGTTTTGTTGAAAGCTAGAAGTTAGAAGCCCTCAAACTCTTCTAAACACTCCGTACCGAACACGTCCTATGTCACAATCTCAACGTATGTTTACCTCCGGTTTGAACTTCAGGGATTGATAGAATATATTTAGAATAGATGTGTATAAAATTAAGACAAAATTTCATAATTAGTCCCTGTGGTTAGCAAAATATCTCACTTTGAGGACTTTCATGAAAAACGTCACGCCACTGGTCCTTGTGGTTTGCAAAATTACATGAAACGTCCTCCTGCCATTAAATCTAACTTTTCAGCTTTTAGATTTTAATGAAAAATACTATTTTACCCTTGTACAAAATTTGCAATATACTACAAACCTCAAGGACCATTTGTGTAATTGTAAATTTGAAATTTTGTATATATATAAATTATAAATATAAAATTGATATATATATATATATATATATATATATATATATATATATATATATATATAATTTTAGTTATTTATAGTTTTTCTAATATACTTATTTATTTTGATTCAAGTAATGAAAAAAAACTTCAATTTAAAATATTGTAACTTTTTTTGTAGAGTCCGACTCTTATTATTATTTTATTCTTTATTTCAGTCTATTATCAAATTGAAAATATCTTGAATTTAAACTATTGATTTCTCATATAGAAAGAGGATTTGATTTGCAAGTTACATTTTAAAAATATTAGCTAGTTTTCCTATTTTAATAATTATAAATCGGAAATATCACACATTGAAACATTAATTCTCAATAGACAAAGCGTTTGATTTTTTCTATTTAACATAAATAAAATAACCACTAAAGAAGAAAAAAATATAAAGAAAAAAAAATGGACCAAAATTACAAATATAAATATAACTTTTTTATTTACTTGGATCAAAATAAAAAAAGTAACAAAAACCATAAATAACTAAAATTAAAAAAAAATAGAAAACCAAAAAACTCAAACATCAAAATTGTAATATACTCTAATATATTCATACATTTTATAATTTTTGTAAAAGGTCAAAAAAATTTTATCAAATTAATGAAAAAATGAAAAAAATTAAGAATTTGAAAAAATTTATAAATCATACGAAAAAAATAAAAAAAATAATACTAAAAAGTTAAAAAAAATACGAAAAAAACCAAAAAAATATGTAAAATGTAAAATGTATTGATATATTAGATTATATCACAATTTTGGTGTTTGAGTTTTTGTTTTTTGTTTTTTCTATTTTTCATTACTTGAATCAAAATAAATAAAAACTATAGAAGAATATTAAATAACTAAAATTATATAAAAAAAAATAGAAAACAAAAGGCGAAATAATGATAATGATAAATGCAAACATAACTTTATTAACGATATTAACTATGGAGCATCCAGGTAAAAAAAACATGAAACGTAACGGCATAAAATTAAAAAAAAAACATTAACGCTTCAATTCACAAAAAAGAAAAATTAAAGAAAAAACGGTTTCGACATGGTTTATCGCATTTAAATTTATTTACCTGAATAAAAAACATTAAAAAATCACAAATAACTAAAATTATAAAATAAAAATAGAAAATAAAATGTCAAAAAGATTAAAAAAAAAGTTATCAAATTGTTGAAACTTGAGGTTTGTAGTATATTGCAAATTTGGTACAAGAGTAAAATAATATTTTTAATTAAAATCTAACAGTTGAAAAGTTAAATTTAACGGCAGAAAAACCTTTCATGTAATTTTGCAAACCATAAGGACCAGTGACGTGACGTTTTCATGAAAGTTCTAAAATGAGATATTTTGCAAACCAAATGGATCAATTATGAAATTTTGTCTAATATTAAATTGTGGGATAATGACCTGAGAGGGTAACATATTTTAGCTTTTGGTCAAATTTGGTCACTAAATTATTTTTCGTGATTTATTAACCACTGAACTTGTTGAAATGTATACATTATACCGGTATGACCGGTAATAGTAGGTTTTGCCGGTTTCCGGTGTTGTGTCCGGCTAAACATGAGTTTTCCGGTCATCTTCTCCGGTCAAACTCGATTTTCCGGCGTTGTTTCCGGCAAGGACCAAAATTTTTCTGGTCACTCATGAAAACCACTGAAAACGGAGTTCAAACCCAAAAAAAATCCACAAAAAAACATAGTTGTCTCATCAAGTGTGTGATCTGCAGAAAAACATCCACCAAACAACATAGTTGAAAAATTTTTAAGAACTGAAACATGGATTTGCAGAAAAAAAAAAGGATGAACAGGAACATGATTTCAAAATGGTTTTCTAATCTGGTTTGAAGATTCATCTTGTTATGTGGATTTTTTTGGGAGGAAATCGAACTCGAAAAACCTGAAGTTTTCGTGTGTTCATGTTCATGTTCATCTTCATCAGCATATACTGGAAGATGAAGAACATCTTCATCTTCATCTTCATCTGAAAACCCTTCATCTTGAAGAGTTTTTGTACATCTTCATCTTTTGGTATATTCTTCATCCAGATTCGAGTTCCTTCAAACTTTGATTTGGTTTCAGATTGGCGTTCCTTCAAACTTTGATTTGGTTCCAGATTCGTAGGCTAGGGTTTCTTCAAAAATAAAATTGTTCATCAGATGTATGTTTAAAATTGATTTCGCTTTCAGGTGTGTGTTTGCAATCAATCATCAGTATCGTAATTATACTTCAAAATCGAAATCAATTCCAAATACCATGAAGATGAATATGAATAGGTCTAGAAACGAGACCTGAAATCTGCCATATGTGAACTGGAGATGAGTTCGATCTTGTTAGGCTTTCTTCATCATAAACAAAATCGATTCCAAATGTTGAAGGGTTTAAACTCGAGGATTTGAAGGGTTTAAACAAAATCGATTCCAAATATTGAAGGGTTTGAACTCAAAATCTGCCATGGATGAACTTGATTTCACATTTGTTTCAGATTTGTTCCAAAACCATGTATGGACTTGAGTTTACATGTGTTTCATATGTATATGTTCCAAAAATCTACCATGAATGAACTCGAAATCTGTCATGGTCGGAAAAGATGATCGGAGAAGATGACCGGAGCACCAGAAATGGTGTCGGAGGTGGAACTCAGCCCCCATAACAATTTTTACCTGCTATTATAGGTCATAATGGTATGTTTTAATCAAAAAAACAAGTTTAAGGGTTAAAAGTGCACTAAAATAAGTTAAGTGACCAAATATGTGTAAATGATATAGTTTGTTACCCTCTCAAGTCATTATCTCTTAAATTGTTTGAAAGTTATCGTCTAGTAGATAGGGCTTTTAATAACAAACTCTTGTATAAATGTTTGCATATATCTTTTAAGTATCATTTTACATTTTAAACTTATAATTATATTATTTTAACAAGATTTTTCAATCCTTACATTTTAAACTTATAATTATATTATTTTAACAAGATTTTTCAATCCTGATCTAATTCTACGATTATATAATAATAATATACAATAAAAAACGATAATTATCATGATATCTCGAATAACAACCTTTACCGAAATTAATATTTGGGAGCTATCTTTCGTTTTTCTTTTCTTTTCTTTTCTAACTTGCTATAATTTGTTCAAGCTTTTGCCCCCCGAGTCCTCGATGCTTTAAACTAAACTCATATCAAATTCATCGAATCCAATTTGTCCACCATCACACTGATCATCTGGATACATCGTTGAAAGTTTTAGGTAATATTTCTTGATATGTGAATTCTTGATTGTTCGATTAATGTTGCGTACATGTCTTAAAGCAACAATTACGATTCGGAATTTCCTGATTGGAATACACTCCACTATTTGAAACCTAAATCGCTCAAATTCGTTTCCAGGTGTTGGAGATTTTGATTTTACGGGAGCAGATCGTGTATATATATACTAGAATCAACCATGTTCACGCGAATTTTCGGAAAACCTAAGCAAGAAGCTAACGCTGTAGCAACATTAGATAGATTAAATGAGGTACTTCCCGATAAATATACTTTTGTTGTTCGGCACATGTATACATACTTTGTATGTGTGCATATTCGGTCTGGATCATGAATTTGGAAGATCTAAATTGTTCTGGCTGTTTGTATTGTCACTCTGTTTTGCGCTACTGCATTCTGAAGTATTATTGATGCTATACTTTTCCTGTCAAATTCAATTAGCGTGTGACTTTTAGTTTCGCTGTGATCTCTTGCCCTCGGGAGAACAGTGATTTAGGGTTTATATCATCTTTGTTATAGGATGGGGTTGTCTTTCTAGAATTTGGATGTCATCAATAGGTTGCATGAAGATCGCTTATAATTTTGTTGCTTACTCTTCTATTTCATAGTAAAGTGTACTAAAGCTATTTTGTATTGAAGTATTTTCTGCAGAAGAGTATGTAGATGGATAATGTAAGTTAAGCTATCAATGGCTCTCTAACTGAAATAACAGATATAATCAAGCATGCAATTGGTAATTAAACTTGTAGGATGAAAAATACAAAAGTCCTTTGATTGCTTATAAATGTCTTCTGTAACTAGATATTTACTTTCCCTTTTAATTTTCTTCAAAGATAGTATGATACTATGATATCTAGGTAAGAATACATAGGTGGTGTTAAATGGCAATGCTGTTAGTGTTTGCTTGTGTTTCTGCATGAAGAGAAAGTCTAGAGAGAATGTCTTGAGTTTAGTCTTTAGTATTGTGCGTAAGCACACAGGAAAAATAATGTGTGTTTAATTTATAATTGTTCAATATTAGTAGACTGAAAAATAAACATCGATTCGCCAAGAGTTTAGGGAGAATTAAAATCAACATATAAACTAAAATATCAATGAACCTAAATCTCATGAAAGATGGAAAGTTGAAGAGATTTTTATAATTTCCAGAGTTCATGTGCATTGTGTATAATTAGGTTGGTTTGGGCCTTTGGGGATATTAATGCTGAAGGTCTAAGGACTTAATTGGGACAAACTTTTTATTTTTGAAGATTGCAAATCTTTCATGAAATGTTTTCACTTCATGTTGCATTTTAGCAAGGCAACATAGATGGAATTGACCTCAATCTCTGGGCATTTGTGTAAAGTTATATAATTCTTTTTATAAAATTATTTCATGTAGTAATAGGAAGAAAATGAATTCATTTGTGTGTATCATATCTATAAAGTAGTGATTAATATATAAGATTACTTATTCATGTAGGATAATGATCAGTAAAAGAGACAATAAATATGTCAAAAACCAAAACTTTAACCAATTGCATGATTTTCATGTTTTTTTTAGAAACTCTGACTTCTCTTATAATCTTATATATGAAACATAATAATTATTGATTGATCTTAAAATTTGTTATGCTATTAATAAATACATACATACATACATAAATAAATATGTGCTATGTTTTTTTTTAAATAGATTTTCGATAGAGAAGGATATATAATTATATATTGAGTTATGGACCTCATTATGCTGCATAAATTCACAGAAAATTCTCGTGTTGCATCAAAATTTTGATTGTTGAACAAAAGGTCATCAAACCAATTAAATTTTTATGTTTTATTTTTTATTTACAGACACTTGAAATGCTTGAGAAAAAAGAGAAAGTGCTTTTAAAGAAAGCTGCTGCAGAGGTGGAAAAGGCCAAAGAATTTACTAGAGCTAAGAACAAAAGGGGTACACCTTTTAAATCTCTTTCATATTAAATTATTAATTAGAGTTAATTCTAAACAATGTTAAAAATTAAAAAACTATGTCATTGTTTCCACTTTATGTCACTAAAGGTTTAATTTTGCCGACCCTTAAATTACTTGTTTTATGCAAAAAGTCCCATTATTTTGGATTTTTTTTTATAAAGTCCTAAATTTTTTTTGAACAGAAAAGTTCTTATTATTTAATATTTTGCCCAAATTAACGAAAAAGTCATTATTTTTATTTTAACACGAAATGACAGATTGTCGTGTAAAATTAAATAATCGGGACTTTTCTGTTAAAAAAAATTAGGACTTTATCAAAAAATTTCCCAAAATAACGGCACTTTTCTGCATAAACCCCTTAAATTACATATCTATTTTTAGATATTTATAATAAAAAAAATAAATAAATATTTCTGATGTCAAATGGTTAGAAAATACTAAAAAAATGACATATTTTGTTACCCTTTTCATAGCATTGACCTTTGACCCTATTAATTACACTTAAATACTTGATTAAATCCTGTATAATTGTAGCTTACATTACTTTTTATATTGTTTTAAAGTAAAAAAAAATTATATTTTTCATTTGGATTTTAATTGTTATGCAGCTGCAATACAATGTTTAAAGAGGAAAAGGCTCTATGAACAACAAATTGAACAACTTGGAAACTTCCAGTTACGTATTCACGATCAGGTGATTATTTTCCACCAACATCTCTTCCATTTTTCAAGTTTTTTAAAATTTCAAAAATCCTTTACCCAAAAAAAAAATCAAAAATTTAATAATCATATTCATAGTATTGTTTGATCATGAATGTATCAGATGATTATGCTTGAAGGTGCAAAAGCCACCACAGAAACCGTTGATGCTTTGAGAACTGGTGCTTCAGCCATGAAAGCCATGCAGAAAGCAACGTGAGTTATATTTTACAATTTTATTTTAAATTAAATTTTTCACTATTTCTGTTGTGTCCCACACACCTTGTCATGCATACCATGCAAAACAGGACAACCTGTACTCTGTTTGACATGTATTGGACTGTGACTGATTGATGTAAAATCGTCAGTGGAAAACAAATTTCAATTTCTTGTTCCATCAAAAAAGTTAGAGACATGACTCCTTTTATTTCTTGTCTGTGCAAAAAGACGTGAATGCCCTTTTGAATAATAGCCTTGGAAAGCTTGTCAAGTCTCACTGACAGGACATGACAAATTATTCTGTGTTTGACATGCATTGGACTGTGACTGATTGACAGTGGAACACAATTTTTAATTTTTTGTCCTGTCCAAAAAGGTGAGACAGAACTCTCCCTCTATCTCTTGTTTGTGCAAAAAGACGTAAATGCCCTCCTGAATAATAGCCCTAGAAAGGTTGTCAAGTCTCACCGACAGTACAAGACATGATAGATTGTAGTGTGTTTGGCATGCATTGGATTGAAGCCAGTCATGTCATGGAATCTTTGTCTTGATGCCGTGTATGTGAAAAAGACGTAAATACCCTTGTAATATTTTTCATGTGAACAGGAACATTGATGATGTTGACAAGACAATGGATGAGATAAATGATCAAACTGAGAACATGAAACAAATCCAAGAGGCATTGTCAGCACCCATTGGTGCAGCTGCTGATTTTGATGAGGTGGCATCGTGCTTTCATTTTTTTTAATTACAATATTACCCTTTCAATTATTTTATAATGAACCAATTGTGTACTTTGAAAAATCTATCCACAGGATGAATTGGAAGCTGAGTTGGAAGAACTTGAAGGAGCAGAGCTAGAGGAACAACTTCTCCAACCAGCCACCACCGCCCCCGCCGCTCCGGTACATACTCCGGCGGGCCGCCAACACACACGACCACCGCCCCAGAAGAACACGGCTGAGGAAGATGAACTTGCTGCATTACAGGCAGAAATGGCACTTTAAAACAAAAAGGTTGGTATTTCCTATGATCAGAATGAGAAGGGCATTTATGTCTTTTCACAAAAGAGAATCCATGTCCTATCTTTTTGGTGAGACAAAAAGTGCAATTAGTGTCTTCTATGATTAGAATGAAAAGGGCATTTATGTCTTTTCGCAAACAAGAGTCCATGTCCTACCTTTCTGGTGAGACAAAAAGTGAGAAGGGCATTTATGTCTTTTCACAAAAGAGAATCCATGTCCTATCTTTTTGGTGAGACAAAAAGTGCAATTATTGTCTTCTATGATTAGAATGAGAAGCGCATTTACGTCTTTTTGCAAAAGAGAATCCTTGTCCTACCTTTTTGATGAGACAAAAAGTGCAATTATTGTCTTCTATGATCAGAATGAGAAGGGCATTTTCGTCTTTTTGCAAAAAAGAATCCTTGTCCTACCTTTTTGGTGAGACAAAATGTGCAATTATTGTCTTATTGACATCGGTTTCACTCCCAGTCAAATATGACAACCTGGTTTGTCATGTCATGTAGCACCAGACAGACAAAAAAAAAAAAAAAATCAAGTTGTCATCATCAAAATTAAATCAGTTTTTAGGTGAGACTAAAAAATATATATAATTTTTGTCTTGTGTTGTGTTATGTGTATTGTTAATGTAAAGGAATTGAAATAAGAATACAATTTGAAATGGTTTTAAGAAATTATTGAAGATGTGGATTTGATGGCAGATGGAGTGGAGTGGAGATGATGCATATAAATGAAGAAAGTGAAGAAATGGTGTAAGGTTTGGTTGAACTTTATCTCTTGTACATTTGTGATATTAGACTTGAATAACATGTTTGAATTTGGAACTCGGGAAAAGATCGATTACATGGATTCAAAAATATGCATGTTACTTGGTATATGAAATTGAAATTCTACATCTTTTTTAGGTTACTTGTTTCATTGTTTTAACATGTGGGTTTACTATCGTCCTTTTGGTGAGAATATTATGTTAGTAGAAATGGGACATTATTTGAAATTTTGAATCAAATACAAGTAGATATGTTGAAAAAAAAAATGATAATCATGGACTCATTAGAAGTAATTCGGAGAAAATGTAATAATATGTTTGTTGTTTAATGGAGACATTCAAATCAAGTGCTAGTGTGTGGAAAATGAAAATAATTTTTTTTCTATAGTGGCATTCACTATAGGAAATAATTCGGTTGTAACAAACTCCAATAGTGTAATGAAAACATTATTAGTTGTCTAACCTAAGTTTTGTATCAACTAAAGGATACAAATCTTAGAATCTTCATTTAAATTGTAAATAATTGATACTTATTATGTAAATATCTATATATTTTAGAGAAGAATACAAATCTAGTTCATTTACTTAGTGCGTGTTTGATACAAAGTAATGAATGAAAGAAATTCAGCATTTCATTAAGTTAAAAAAATGTTGTTTGGTTGTTATTATGGAATACAATGGTACATGCTAGAGGGCATGTCCTTCCTTTAAATCATGTAATTTTTATTATCCTCATGACCCAATTTTTATATCATTCCTTTCCTACCAGTAATCTTCTATCTTAATAAAAGAATCCTCTCTGCCACGTGTCTCATTCTACATTCATTTTTCTTTCAATGTGATTTACCCGTATTGTCCTTCCTTGTTTCACCTTCCACTCATCCTTGTAATCCGACGCTTCCATCTATTCCTATTGATCTATTCTTCATGATCGAATTGATGATACCTAAAATCAAGGAGTAAATTAAGGAGTGACGTTTGAAATTCAAGGAGTGAGGTTTTGAAATTCACAATCCGTATCTTCAGGATTTCTGAAATTATAGACATCAGATTATATCATTTGCTTCCTCCTCTGTAAATCAACCACCACCCCACTTTCTCCTCCATCAATCACTGATTTAGCCCCATGTATTCTCTCTGCAACAATCGGTATACCACTTTGCCACCGCCGGTGATTAGGTTGTTCCTACGGTAACTGGTCTTCGCCCCACCAAGAAAACGCACGAGCCAAAATTCGTCTTTTTTTGGGTTTCGGTTGCGCCTACCTGCATACTTGGATATCTGAGGTAAGATTTCCAAAGTGAAGCCCTATGGTTTCACGAAACCGCCAAGAATCATGCTTATATGTACTCCGACTGTGAACCCTAATCCTCTCCGGTAAGCATCGGGTTTGAATTTTTCAAAATTTTACTTAGATACACAACATCAATGAGGGGAAAATGCTTATGCCATACATGTTTGGTGGATATGTTGTTTGTTTTTCTAATGAATGGGTTTCAATTTCACTTTGTGTTTTGATTTCAATTTTTTTTATCTTGCTTCTATTAATGGTGAGATTTATAATTTCCAGTTACTATTCATTCAGGTTTAGAGAATTCATCTCTTGCAGGAAATGTTAAGTTCTGCTTTCCGTCATCTAGGCATCATGCACCTATTTACTTATTGTTCAACAATCTTGAGCATGATTTTTTTTTTTGCTAATGTGATTTCTTATAAGCAATGTAACCTGTAGATACTTCCAAAGTTGGTATGCGCAATGATATGTTATACTTGATGGAAACAGCCTCTCAAATCTGTCTATACATGTAATCAAACTTGGATCGAGTACAAAGGTTCATTTATATACTTGATAAAGAAATTTCTTGATTCATACTTAGTCTCCATCGTTTGGCTTAAATGTTGACTTTTGGGTGCCAACATTTATCTTCGTATAAAGATCAAGTGCTTACTGTCGAATACTCTCTTATTTGGAATATCTCTGGGTGTAAGAGCCATACATAAGCGTCATGGATGGCATAGCAATGAGGTTTAGGATTGGCTTATCAGGTTATGGCTACTAGATAGTCATAACAAAGATAAACTCCACATTTTAGCATTAAATTAAAGCAATAACTCATACATTTGTTCTTGCAATGTCAGAAAATGGAATTGGATTGTTCCTATTACTTTTATTTTAGTTCAATACGTAAACAAATGCTCTTTGATGGAGCATGGATAAGGTAGTTTTGTTGAGACTTTGCTTGCTTTTATTATCGGATTTCGTAACTTTTTCTGATTGTTTACCATTTTGCCCCTCTCTGGCGGTTGAGATCTCAGAGACCATTTATAATGTGAAGGTAAAGATTATGGAGATAATACCTGGGATGGCACAAGATCACCAGCGCTTAATCTTTAATAGAAAGCAACTCGAGGATGATAAAACTTATTATAACATCCAAAACGAGTCTACATTGCATGTGTTTTTGAGGCTGGTAGGAGGTTTTTATTGGACGTTGGTTAAGACTTTCACAGGCAAAACCATGAAGCTAATGTGGGGGTACTATGGGAGCATTGATAAAGTGGAAGATTGTTTTTTAGAAAATTAAAGAAGTTCCTTAATGTTCATATTATCAGCAAGATTAATACACACTATACACATACAAATTAGCTTGATTGATAACGATACCTTCTTGAAAACAATATTTGTCCCAGATCCTTCCACATTTTGGTAGCCCATCCATTAGCAAACAATATGGCAACTATAAATGAAATTACAATGACCAAAAACACGAAACAAATTGCTGGATTACGAATTATAGGTTAGTACAACATAAAAATATAATAAAAATTATAAAATAACCGATCTTTTAGGGAATATAATAGAAAAAAATGGTATCAAGTCAAGAAACTGAAATTCAAACCTATAAGAACCACTTTGGTGTCGCTGTTGAGTGTAGAATTTAGATAAAGTTTATGTATGCAAAATTTAGGGGTTGTTTTTTTTTCCGGATGAAGTCTCCAATGGATAAAACGACTCAACGAGTAATGATTTATTCTCGGATGTGGTCCTACGTATATAAACATGTTTCTTTCAATTTTTATGTAATCAAAAATAAAAAACAACCATCTTTTTGAATATAAATGTGATTTTCGTTTTCCGTTTTGGGCCATTAAAATTTTTTTTCTTTCAATTTCGAGGTATTAAATATTCAGAATGAAATACCATCATTTTGAAAAAAAAAAGTATTTTTTTATTTTATTTTAAGGTATCATAATTAAATATCAACTGTTTTCTTTTGGCATAAATATGTAAACTTTTTACTTGTGTGATAACTCTTATTTCAAGTGCATAATTACCAAAAGCCAAGGAAGTGGTTTGAGATGTCGAATAGTTTGAAAGTGCATTATTGTTATTCATTGCCATTTTTAATTATCAATATTATTTTTCTTTTTTATCCCGTGGTTTCCACGGGTCGTAACCTAGTCAAATAATATATTCATCCGCAAACTCTTCTTCTCTATCAAACATATTTCCACCATTTCAAATATGTGAAACTCTATATGCACATGTTCTTCATTGCAAATCACAACTATAAATGGTGAGTAGAGTTGAAGAATCCTTCATCTTGAGATCGACAAAAAACGTCATCATCTTTACCAAATCTACATAAAACTTCTTCAAATGTAGATATATTAATTTTAGAGGCATGTATTGGCTTCTCCTACGGTTGTATTTGTCTCTTGCAAATCTCAACTCTATTTTAACTTTTGTTTATCGTCATACAATCGGTCTCTTGGTTCCTGTAATTTGAATACTTGTGTATGAATCAATAGAAACGTGGAGTAATAGCATAAGGATTTGACAAATAAAAACTGATTTTATTTATCGGGTTTACGTTTAAAGCACGATAATTACATAGTTCATGTATCCTCTTTTAGAACTCTCACATTTCTGTCTACACAAATATCTTTATCTCTTAGAAGGCTATACAAATCATCATGTGTCAACATACGAAAGCATTTGATATATATTAATTTAAACCTAACAAACTACCATAAAGATATGAGATAAAACTTCCTTGCGAATTCTCCGGGTCTTCTGTTTAAATCAAACCCTTGATTTAAAGGGATAGATCTTTCTATGATAAGTGCATATATGGAAAATAATGAAAAAATCATATAAGATCTTCAGTTATATACTTCTTCAGCAAGTAATTTTGATCTATTTCAGATTCAGACTCCAACTCTAAAGGCAGCTCGGTGATGAGAATCAGCTTTCGCTTTGGCTTGACTAGCTTCAGCTGAAGCTGATGATATCTGATCTTCAACGTATAGGCTCTTCAACTCCGGAAGCTTCAACACGTTGATAACTCATCAGTTCCCGATATATCTACCTCCTCTAATAAACAAAACCTAAAAATGTCACATGTCATCATTTTAAACATTAAATTGCCACATGTCATTTTGTTAGTATTTTTCATTTTTATATTTTTTATTTTATTTGATATATAATATTAATTAGGTGTGAGACCCGTATGTTATACGGGTTTGATAAAACAAAATTTTATTTAAATTTGAAATTTTAGATTTGAAATTTAAAATTTGAAAATTTTAGATTTGAAATTCAAACTTTAAAATTTGAATTTAAAAGGGAACATATTAAATACTATAAGAGTACTAATATTGTAATTTATTGGTTATTTTCAATTAAGGCAATTATTAATTGAGGTGTTAATTAAGAAAAGATAAAAAAAAATAAGAAAATGACAAATGGAAAAAACATTTAATCAAAAATACCACAAAATGGCATGTGTTCAAGTTAATGAGAAATGACATGTAACAAAATTATTTTCATTTATTAGAAAGGATATCTCTTATTTATGGTTTTGAGTTACATATAGTAACGAAATATTATATCTTAAAATTAGGCATAACATAAATTTGAATTATTGGCCATAATTCGAAGCTTATATTATTTCCATATTTTTCTTCTAGAATTAAGCAGGGAAGTTTTTATGTATTACTATCTTATTAACTTCAAATTTTCATATATTTTGTTAAATTAAAAAATTTTCCATTATTAATCAGAGGCATTAAATCTGATTTTTTAATTTCTATAACTTTTTAAAGTTTTGCAATTTCATCTTTGTGATAGCAC